GCGTCCTAACATTGCTTTAGTGACCGTAAGTCCCTAATTCGAATTGACCCTCAAACTCCAACGACGATGCTACCTACTCATTAATAGTGAGATAGCATTGCCCAAAGGAAATTAGCATAGAACGACTCCTTTTTCGAGTAGGTAGATTAGTTCTTAGATACTTGCTCATCCAAAAAACAAAACTTTTTCACACTTACACTCCTTTTTAAACAAAGTTTTCAAAAACACTTCATTACACTCTTGAAGACAGAAGCAAGAGTTAAATCGAAGTTAAAAACAAAAACTTTTCAAAACCCACAAGCACAAAGAAAACAATTTTGAAAATAATGAGCAAGTACCTAAGAGCTCGTGGATAACCACGGATAGAAAGGGTGCTAATACCTTCCCTTTCTATAAATCTATCCCCCGTACTCAGAAATATCTCAAAAAAAGAATTTTTCTGTGCTTTTTTCCTTTCCTTGTTGGATAAAATAAAAGTCGGTGGCGACTCTTGCTTACCGCGACATTTTGCAAAAACAAACGCAAAACGCAAACCAGCATTCCAAAAACAGTTAGTTCTTCCCACCATATCACACTCCCAGAGATACAACTCGACAATGAAATCGAGAGAGGTGCAAAAGGGTGACTTAGTATTGGAGGGAGTAGTCATACCCGCACAAGAAGGGAAGCTACATCCCAATTGGGAATGGCCATATCGCATATACCAAAAACTCTCTCATGAAGCGTACAAATTACAAGAACTGGAAGAATCATTCCTTCCTAGGACTTGGTACGCGCTCCACCTCCGATATTATTATAGTGAAAGTTATTTGAAATTTTCCAATAAGCGTTATGACTTATGTAACTCTGAAAGATCACTCATATGCTTTATTGCACATGACCCCCACCCCCCACCCCACCCCCTTTCCTTTTTCTTTTGTTTTTCTTTCTTTGAAAAATATATATGTTGAATCTTCATGGAAGGATCATTTTCGACCCTCATGGAAACTGCATGTTGGACCTTCACGAAAAAAATCATTTTCGTCCCTCAAGGCAATTACATGTTAGACCTTCACTGAAGGATCCTTGTCGTCCCTCGTGGCAATATTTATGTTAGATCTTCACCGAAGAATCCTTGTCGCTCCTCGTGGAAATATCTATGTTTGACCTTTACCTAAGGATCCTTGTCGCCCCTCGTGACAATATATATGTTAGACCTTCACCAAAGGATCTTTGTCGTCCCTCGTGGCAATATATATGATAGACCTTCACTAAAGGATCCATGTCGCCCATGTGGAAATATCTATGTTGGAACTTCACTGAAGGATCCTTGTTGCCTCTCGAGGCAGTAGACATACAAGGAACCCCTAACGGAGTGCTCGACCACTCCTCAAGGCAGTATATATATGTATGTCACAGATTTCTGCGGAAGACCCCGACTACCTTTGTAGGAGATTACGACCCTCGATAGAGGATCCACGTCTCCCTCTCGGGTTGTCCCAAAAGTGGTAAGAAGACTTTTTTCCTAAAGGACTCAATATTTCCTAGGACGACATAGCTTCAAAACCATGCTTAAAAATGTGTTGCCTATATCAAGCCCCAAAGACTTTGTTCAAGCCTTGCTAGATGGCTCGATATAAGTCTCACCTGAGAAGTAAAGTGCCCCGCCTGAAGGACTCAGCGTCTCCTCGACCGGGTTACATGATGGGGCTTGGATTTCCCAGATAAAAAGAGTTTTTGCTTGAGGGACTCAGTATCTCTCGGTCGACATTGCTTCAAAGTCACGCTTAAATGAGTGTGGCCTATATCAAGCCCCAAAGACTTGGTGAAGTCTTGCTAGAGGTCTCGATAGAGATCCCATATGAGAAGTAAAACGCCCTACCCGAGTCTCAGTCGGGTTTCCTGATAAAACATCTGATGGACTCGGCGCTTTGTTAGCTAAGTCATACGATAATAGAGCAGTAAAATTCTGGATTTTTTGTGGTCAAATAAAATCCCATAAGGGAAAATAATAGTCATCAGGATACTCCCATTAATAGAGAGTAAAAGAACTCGGGTCTAAGAGACCGTGTAGTGTTATATTTATACATAACCTTGCATAGGACGATATTTGTGGAACCGCCCTAGGAAAGGGTGACGACTCAAGGCCCCCAGAATGAGGAAACGTGGGATAGAAATTGTCTTGGATATTGAGAAAGTCAAGATACTTACTGACTCATATATCTCTTGAAAATAGGAGTTCAACTGTTCAACTTTTGACTGAGTGGACAATAACTTTTTCTGAAAAAATTCTAAAAAATTGTGGATAACCAAAAGACTACAAAGATGACACAAATATTAGTAGATATATCACGAGTATATTTGTATTGCATCTTCAAAGACATGCGGGTAAAAATGGATAAATTTGTATTCCTAGATGATTTAGTAATTGTAGATATGGAAGAGGATTCAGAAATACCTATTATAATGATGTGAACCGAAAACTTTTAGGGTAGAGAAAGGAAGAGAGATTATAAATAATAATATAGAGTTATTTTTCCTTGATATATGAAAAATTCGTAGGACAGGCTAAAGGAGTGGCCGTCCAAACCCTTAATTTTGGCATCATCTCTTACACAATAGTGTTACTTTTTCTCACTTAAATCCTACCTCTTAGATAATGGTCTCGCCAGTCGCCAACCTTGCTTAAGGCCTAACATTTCATTTGATGGAAAAGGAACAAAGAAGTAAACATAGTTTGTTGCCAACTTCCTTTTGTTGCTGGCCTGTTTGTTTTTGCTGTAGCAGTAACAGGGCATCAAACTTGCAGCAAATGTAAAGCGCACCGGCACAGCGCAAAAGTAGTTCCAAACATATGCTTACACAAAGTTCATTGCAAAAAAAAGTCAAAAACACTAAACAGGTATTGCCACATAGGGCGAGAATGAACAATCTCCGAATCCAATCTTACAATGTTAATATTACAACTACAAACTGACATGAATCTTGAACTCAACAATATATTCAAGTATTTGAGATCGATGTAGCAATTGTATATCACGTCTTAATAAGTCCAAGAATAGGTTGCGGCCGAATGTTGAAATACGTAGCCGGAACCAAATAAGCACAGACTAGAGACACGTAAAGTTTAAACCAGATAGTGGAAAAAACATGGTACATGCATAAGCCAGTCCATAGAATAACTAACATACAAGTCAAAATGGTCTTCATAGCAGGGAGGTCCCTCTCTTTAGCTTGATCAGGAAACTTACCTTGAAATTGAAAATTGTAAAGCAACTTGTCCTTAAACCGGAATCTGTCCATCAGCCACGTCGACATTCCGTCTTCAGACGTTGGGATACGGTCGATGGGAATGCGGCAGATATGGATATGAACTTCGGAAGGATCCACCCCGAAGACATTGTCCAAGAAAGACGGGCAGCGATTTTTGTAGCCAATGGTAACATCGTAAACTGAGAATTTAAAGTTTATAGCATTTTTTTTTTGTTAGGATAATATGAATTCAAGATTTTTCGGAAGCTTTAATCATGGACAGAGAGCTTAACCTGCAATTAGAGAGCCCCTCAACTCTTGCAAACAGGTACAAAAGCCTTTGGTTTTTGGCAGTAAAACATTTTTCAGAATCGGTAACCCTTGTTCGGCAGCATATTTTTGACTTCGAAGGCACTTCTGTTCACTGCCAGAAGAAAAAAGATAGATATGGCAAAAGACCATCAAAAGAATACACAAATTGACAAAATTTACATATATTACATCAATTCAAACTGAGGATGAAGAGAGTTGTGCTACAAAATCGCCATTGAATTTTGAAGTACGGGTGAGAGTATGTTCTCTTACATCAGATTAACATTTCCGGACAAAATCATATGATTCTCAAATATAAGAAATCTAGCTATTTTTCCAGCATCATGATAATCATAAGTAAAATAAAAAATGTATCTAAGTCTAAACTCATCACTGTAGGAAATGTAACTTTGTTGTATTATTTGAACAACTCAAATTCGACAACTTTGTAAGTGGTTAACACGATTCAAATACCCGGTGTCAAAACTCATTAACCACGAATTTGGACATAATCAACCACGTGTTCCAGGGTTCAAATATACACGAAGTTGACCACCTGAAGTTATGAATAACCACGTCGAAATGGTTAATGAGTTTTGACACATGCTCTCATTAATCATTTACAGAACGTAATTAACCACAAAATGAATTTTGTTCACCACTTAAAAAGGTTGTCGCGAGAGTTGTCTAAATTTGGTTGTACAAAATTTGTAAAATGAGTTTCAGTGGCTTACGTAAAATCAGTTCCCTCGGGGAAAATAGCAAGCCAGAGAGGATCTTGGGGATCCTCGAATGTAGAAAGCATTTGACGCATAGTTGACTCATCAGCTTCCCACTTCCTCTCCACCGGGATGAACTCCAATATATGAAATGCCCAACCGAAAATCGGAAGTTTCATCAAGCTGCTCTTAAGTACATATTTAATGTATCCAATGCATCCCTTCCTCAATGCAAGGTCCCATAAATACATCCAATCGACTTCAGTTCTGTGATTCGCAATCAGTAATATCCGTTCTCTCGAAGGAACAATATCTCCATAGAACACAACTTTAGTCTTGTTGATTTTCTCAAATAGAAAAGGCCACAAAGTTAGCCACGCACCAAAGAAAAAGGATGTTGTTCTCCTGCTATAACCGATGCTAAAAAATCGCACGAAAACAGAAGTAATAAAGCCGAAGAACACCAATGTCACAAATGCCGATGAAACCAACACCAGTAGACACATTAAACCCCTTACAACTCTAAAAGGAGCTAGAGCCTGATACTTTGATCCAAATTTAGAACTTACAGGTGTAACAACAGCCATATATGCTATCAAAATCAAACACTGAAATGAAAATAACTACACTGATGACTGATTCTTCAAGATTTACCACCCTGAAAAACAATATGGTTACTACTGAGACAACCCTAGTAATTTAAAACATGGATCTTTAACAGACACAAAATGTTTCAAATTACAACATTGAAAAAAAAAAAAAAAAAACAAGAACCCCAATGAGGCCTCTTTCATTAAGCTATAAGAGAGTAACACAATACAATAGAATAGTATAGAATGAAGTTGAGAATCATTACCTTTGTTGAAGGTTATAGCATTTTCCAAGAGAAAGAGAAAAAACGATGGGAGATTGAAAATTGAGGTTTTAAGGAAAATAGTTGGGATGAATAGTGAAATAGTATTAGATAGAATAAAGAAGTGAGGTGTAGATTTTAGTGGATGATAGTAGTAGTAGTACCTTCCTCCCTCCACAACTGTTTCAAAGTTCACGAACAAAGATTGTACGATAATTACTAGAACCTTCTTTTGTGTTACGGAGTTTAATGTTTTTCGGTTTTTCTGACTCAACAACAGTGCGGTGTTTAAGGTTTGCAAAACGTTACACTTGTTAATGTTAGATTTTTTTTTTTGACCAGTTGTTATATTAAAATGTCTTGCAAGTAGAGTTTATATAAATTAAAGTTTGGATTTTTTTTCTTTTGCCTTTTTTTTAGTTTTACAAATGTGTGGTTATTTATTTATGATGGGATAAAGATGTAGTAAGGCTCACGTGGATCCATGTCAATAGGAGTATATATTATTGAAATAATAATTTAACATTAAAACAATTTAATTTATATTTTATAACCATTTAAAAAAATAAATACAATAAATGAAAAATCAAAATTGAAAGTCAAAAAGCTTCCGTTCTAAATTCTAAAAGTCACGAATTTTAAAATTAAAATATGAGAAATCAAGTTTCCCCTTCATTATTATTGTATATAGCATAGAGAATGTGTAATTGATCAATTTTTGGAGATTGTGTTGGCTATTATATTGAGATTGTAATTCCTTGTGTCGAAGTAGATTATTTTATATAAACAAGGTAGTGTCGAAATATCTTAGTGTGTGTCAAAGTTATGTAGTTGTCGAATTGTCGAAGGAGTTAGTCTCGATATGGATTTCGACTTAGGCCTAATTTTGTAGTGTTAGCAGAATTAGGTATTTGGGCTTTTACATTTTGGATTTTTCTTAGGGAGCAAGCAAACCCAAAATCTATAATAGAGAGTAACACATAGCATTGTATACAAAGCTTGTAGTTGAAAAGAATAAAATCACAATTTGTGAGCTCTAGAGATAATTCTCCTTCTTCCCCTATTTTTCGTTAAACCCTAATTTCATTTCTTCCACAATTTCATCTTTTCTTTCTTCTTCCGTTAACAATTGTGCAACAGAATCATCTTGCAATCAATGCTGGTTGATTCACTCGAGTGAAGAGTGAAGAACAAAAGAGAATTTGGTCGGTGTGATTAAATCTTGTTTTGATTCGGAATTCTCCATAGGTTGGATGTGATTTCCAACATGGTATCTAGAGCAACTGATTGAGCGATTTGTAGGAACGAAACTCGATGGCAAGGAATCATCCGAATGGACATTTTTTGATGAGTCTCCAAATTCTGAAGGGTCGAAATTATGAGAGTTAGTGTAAACATATGAAGGTTGTTTTCTGTTATCAAGATCTTTGGGATCTTGTGAAAGAAGGAGTAACACCGCTTGAAGAAGACGCAACTGATGAAGAAAAGGTTGCACACAAGGAATTGAAGAAGAAGAATTATAAAGCTCTCTTTATAATTTCTCAATGCATTGATCCAGACAATTTTGAGAAGCTAAGTGATGTTGAATCAGCGAAAGAAGCATGGAAAATTCTAGAAAAATCTTTTGGAGGCGCTGAAAAGGTAAAACGGATGAGGTTACAAACTCACAAAAGAATGTATGAATTACTTCAGATGGAAGAAAGTGAAAGCATAATTGATTTCTTAACTAGGGTTATGAAACTAGTGAATTAAATCAAGATATGTGAAAAAAGTGTTGACATTAAGATCAGTTGTTACAAAGATCTTGAGGTCATTAACTCCAAAGTTCAACCAAGTGGTAGTAGCCAAAGAAGAGTCAAAATATTTGTCAACATTAATAAACGAAGCGCTTTAAGGTACGCTTAAATCTCATGAACACAGAATAGTTGAAAGAGCTACAGGCAAGTCGATGAGTGATGTGGCTTTGCAGGCGCAATCAATAAGAGAAAATAAAGCAAAAGGAAAGTGGTTCGACAATAAAGGTAAAAGAGGCTACAAAAATTCGACTGGTCGAGAAAACCAGCAAAAAGTAAATTCGTTGAATCAGAGATGACCCTCGTATCAAAGCAACCAAAGAGGTGGTGTTGCAGGTAGAGGATGAGCTAGTGTTCGAAAGCCTGACAAAAGTCACATTTAGTGTTTCAATTGTCCGAAGTATGGCCACTATTCTAGTGATTGTCTTGAAAACAGGAGAATCAAGACAATGATGCAAAGTTTCCAAATCACGAAGAAGAATAGATAATGTTGATGGTCACAACAAGAGATGAAGAGGGATTAAAAGACCAATGGTACTTGGACTCAGGATGCTCATCACACATGTCTAGAAGGAAATATTGGTTTGTCAACATAAAACCCCCAGTGAAGAACGTGGAGGAATTTTCAAATGACAAAACTCTAACAACTGAAGGTATTGGTGATGTTCTGGTTATGAGGAAATATGGTAAAAGGTTAGTAATTTCTATTGTATTATACATACCAGACATGAAAAGCAATTTTCTCATCATAGAACAGTTGGTGGAAAAGAGCTACAAGGTGTCGATCAAAGACAAGTTGATGAGAGTTATCGACTCAAGAGGAAGGTTAATTTTAAAGTCTCATATGTTTCAGAATAGAAGCTTCAAAATTGAACTTAATGCGATGGAGCACAAGTTCCTTGTAACTGCATCTAGTAAAGATGAGTGGATATGGCATTATTGACTTGGACATCTCAACTTCAAAGACATCAAAGATCTCAAAAGAAGAAATATGGTTTCGGGGTTACCAAAAATCGACATTCCAAATGAAGTGTGTGAGGAATGTGTGCAGGTGAAGCAACACAAGAATAGCTTTTGCAAGGATGCAGGAAGCAAGTCGAAGGCAATTCTTGAAATCATATACTCTGATATATGTGGTCCTATTCAGGTGGATTCTGATTGGAGGTAACACGTACTTTGTAACATTCATAGAAGATTTTAGTCAAAAGATATGGACTTACCTGATCAAGAAGAAAAGTGAAGTGATCAATGTATTTTCTAAGTTCAAATATATGGCCGAAAGACAAAGTGGTCGAAAGCTCAAGATTCAGAGGACTGATGGTGGTGGAGAATTGATAAGTGCAAATTGTAGTTATTTTTGTATATACTTTTTGTTGCACTTATCGACTTTTTGTTTGTAATATTGTTGAATAACCCTTACTTTTGTGTAAATATGTTTAGTTTGTGTTTATTTGTGTTTTTGTGTATATAGTGTATCGTTTGATATTTTTCCATTCATTTTGTAGGTATTTGTTGTATTTTGGAGCATTAAGGAATAAGGTGTCGAAGGCACGGCTCCGGATGCGTGTTTTCATATTCAAAGATCAGTTTTGGGACTTGTTGTCTAGGAGAGCCCGCTTAGCACGCAGGAGGCCGCTAAGCGCGAGTGACGCTCAGTGTATTTTGTAGCGCGCTGCTTGTGTTTACTGTTTTTGTAAAACCAAAGTGTTGAAGCCCGCTTAGCGTGGATAGCGTGGTTAGTGCAATTTAGGTCGGTCTAATGTGTAAAAATCGCGCAGCCCGCTTAGCGCGCTGAGGCCGCTTAGCGCGGTGTACTGAGATTTGTTTTATAACTTTATTTTCAGTTATTTTTAGGTTATGGTTTTGGGTAAGTTTTTGCTACCAACTCCATCAAATTTTAAATTTTGTTAGGATTAGCTTAGATGACAACGTTGGAGCTTGCATACGGATGATCCGGAGTGGTTTTCTCTTCGATCGACATTGACAAACCGGTAGATCTATGATTCATTTCTCTTCCTCTTTGTGTAATCTTCGATGGTTTGGTTTATATGTAAAATTTCTTTGATATAATGTATATTTGTCTCCCTTGGTGTTATATAAAACTTTATTTACGAATCTTTGTTGATTGTTGTCCTGGATTTTTACTGTGTTAGGGACTTATGTTGTTATAGACAGATACTTCTTAGCTTCTTATCTAGGCCGATTGTCTGTTAGTTTATGAACTCTAGAGATAGATTTAAAGAAGACATCTACTTGGGTATCAGAGCTTAATGCCTCTGTGTTGTTTGTGTTGCTCTGAGAGATCGTCGATACAGGCGAGCACGGTTGACTTTTGTGTTGTTGAGGTGGTTGAGAGATCACTACTGAGGTGATGTAGTAGGCCTCTCAATTTGGGTTATAAATGACTTAGGTTTTGAGTGATACATTGTGAAATTAATGAGTAATGTTAGGTTGAGTGTAACAACTCGATAGGTCTAAGTCAGGGAAAGTAGTGTATATGCATACTTGATAAGTTCTTTCTTAGTTTTTCCTTTTGTTTACATTCATTTTTTGTTAATAACATTTACTTTTCTATACCATTCAAACCCTAAACTCATTAGAGAATGATTTATCGAATGATAATTAAATAACCAATCTATGTGAACACGACACGATATAACCTAAATATCACCTGGTAAATCAATTACTTACTTTTTGCTTGCCGCTTTACATCAGCAACAAAAAGGCGCCGCTGCCGGGGGTTGGTTCTTTTGTTTTCGCATTGTAATAATTCTTTTGTTTTTGAGTTTTGTAATTATTGTATATGTTGTATAGAAATTGTACAATAACTTGTATATGATACGCGTGCATATATGTGTTTTTTCTTTGTTTTCACGTATTGTTGTAAATTATCTCGTTTTCGTAACATTTGTTGTGTGAATGTTAGGACACTTTCTTTAGGTTTGTGCGGTGTGACAATACCATGGCATGACGAGAGGAGGTTACTAGCTTGCACAACAAAGGTGTCGAGCTTACGACGTAAAACAAGCATGGTGTATTGTTTTTATTTGTATTAGTTTTTGTTATGTACTGACTTGTGTTTTAACAAGTTGAACTCGGATTAGTTTTTAAATTTCAAATTTTCACTTTTCAACTTGTTAAATACACATTCAATTTTGTGTTTCATTATGTAAAATTGTGTTTTTCCGCAAGCTTGTCGTGTATAGCTTGTGGAAGTGTGTTTGTTAATATTGTAAATATTGTAATTTCTATGCATAGAGTGTGTTGGTGATGGTGGAGTTGCATAGCAGTTGCACCAGATGCTGCTTTTTTTTTCTGCATCTGGTGTAGCGCGCTAAGCGCACTCCAGGCCGTTTAGCGTGCTCTGCTGTGTAGAGCCAGTAAATTCTTTTTAAAAAATTTTATTGGCTTTTATTTTTCCCACTTCCACCTAGGCCTTGTAGTAGTAAATATTATTAGCATAATTAGTTCTTTTGTTGTTGTTTGAACTCAATTTTGGTTCGATAGCTTGAAGTCGTTTTTGGTGATTTTCCAAGTTTGAGTGTTTCAACTTGCA